CTACAAAAAAATGGCTTCTTGTATAAACCTGCCAATATCTACAGAAACGACAAAATTATGAGGCTTTAAACAGCTGGATCTTTCATTCCAAAATGTGGACTCCCGGTTCGCCAATTCTCCATATTTGGTGATATTCTAAGGTCTTTTATGCATCTTTTTTTCCTAATAATTGTGATGTGTGCTATTGGAGGAAAGCTCCTGTTAGTAAATCTGAGGTCTTGTCTCTTAGTTAATCCTTGAAATAATGTTCAAGCTTTTCTAATCTTAGTAGCAGTCAACATCACGCTCTAGGATTGGATCTTTTGTGGGTGAAAAAAACAAAACAACCAAATCCACCCCCCCACCCCCCAAAATACCAGATGTCATTTAGACTTCGGTTTAGGTTAAATCTTGTCGGCCCATCATACTCTTGATTTAGACTAGTTTTTAAAAGTGGTGCCATGTTTGGTAGTTTGGATTTTACCCCTTATTAGTCCAGTACTGTCATAAAACGGAACAGATGGACCCAGTATTCAAGGTAAGACAGTCAGTAGGTAAACGTTTATTAAAACAAAACTATAAACAGACAGAACTGAAGCGTGGGGCTGTGGAACTGCAACCACAGCGATTGCAGGAGGGGGAACGGGGCACCACCCAATCACTGACACTCTGGGGGAAGAGACACAGGTAAGTGACAGGAGATGATAATCTCAGAGAGTCACTTACCTGGTTTCACAGTTCAGTCCAACTCCTTAGAAAGATGCGATCCAGCCGATGGGCTGGCAACCTGACCCGGCGTGCGTCGCCCAGAGTGTCCCTGATGCTGCAGCCCCGGAGAACTTGCAGGAAGCCGATGCAGGTCAGGGGAAGACAGAGCAGACAGGAACAATTCAGGAATCCAGGAAACCTCCTCTCTGTCAGAAGTTCAGACCCAAACCAGAACAGAGGGAACCAGGCCTAGAGGAATCCTTAGAGCTTGAAGGCAGGTTCGGATTCAGACGGATCCAGAAGCGTTCCCAGACGGACATGCACAGATGCAGATAGGCAAACAGATCAGATGGGGACAGACAGGGCCAGTGGGTCAGAGGGAACAGAATCCGGAAATCAGAATCACAATGGAAACGCTGAAACTCTCTCACCACTGGCTAGGGAATAAACTTGCCTGAAGACAAGGGCTCAAATATAATCTCCTACTGGAAACGGGGACATGAACCTTGGAAATAACTAAAACTAACGAAACTGACGGACAGGAGAAAAAGAAATCCAACAAATGATCTGGCCCCGATAGCTGGAACTGAGCCCAATATGAAGGAACAAACACAGGTGGATGAAATCAGTGATAATGAGAAAACCGGACAGAGTTAGGAAGGTGACTGAAATGAACAATTAAGGTGAGCTATCAGCGAAGATCATTACAAATACTTGGTGTTGAAAACCCAGTTTTTAACGTCTTTTCAACTATCTGAAAATTACAGCTTTTCACCTTTCACTGACATCGTTTGGACGTAACTCATGTCGTCTTTTCAGTTTCTTTTCAACCAATTATTGCTCGATGGGTTTAGAGAAACACAGAAGGAAAGCTAAAACCCATTCAAATCCCAAAGGGTTAATGCCTGCCTGATCATGTTCAAATATGTTCTCAATAATTAGCATCTTTTTTTTCTACACTCTCCAGAGTTATGGGAGCAAAACAAAAAGGCACACAATTTACCACCTCTTTGAAGCTGTATTTTTATCATATTAATTTGAGTCTTTATTGGTTTGTATTTCTTTCTGTACATTTCAGTCTGATTTCACATGTATTTTACCTCGTTTTTTGTTTGCATTTGGCTACTTGATGAATCTTGCATTTATTTTGAAGCTACAACTTTTGATTGATCTTTTTTACTAAAACTGAACTCATAATATGTATAACGCTGACTTACATAACAAAGTATAAATAATTTATTAGATTTAATAGATTTATTACTGTGATAAAAGTAATCTAAGTGAAATTGATGAATACAATTCATCCTCATAGTTTGAAATCTCATCCTTGATTTTTCTTTTGGTTCCTTTTCTCTAAGGAACAATCTGTTCTTGACATTGCAGACTATTCAGATGGGTTCTATGCAAAGACACCATTATGTCCCAGCACCATAAGCTCCTCTAGAGAGGTCAGAATGCTGCCTATTTTAAAAAATGCAACAGAGATTTCCATTATTTCGCACTCATAAAGCTCAGTCCTAATGATTTATTATTTATGGTAAAAAGGCTTGGTTTATTTATGGCCGTTTTCTTCTGTCCCTTCATGGTAGCGGAGGATACAAGCAAGAAAAAAGGAACAGAAATTAGGATGGATTGTTGTGTTGTTTCTCATCTTCTCTCGTTTTTGTCTTTGTCAGGTCTCTGTGTGTGACTCTGGTGTTCAGCACCAAAGGGCAGCGGTATCTACGGGTCGGGCTGGCCGTGCCTCTGTTCGGCTCTGTGGCTTGTCTGAGGAGGATGGTGGCTGATGAGGGGAAACTCTCCCCAGACCAGGTAACTAAAAAAAGTATATATATATATGTTCAGTATAAAGTTGAAACTTGCTTTATGTGATGGACTTTATTCTGGCACAGATTGGAGGAAACTAAAAGCGTTTCTGTCTGTCTTTGCAGGTGATCCTGACAGAGGTTTACTCCACTGGCTTCCACCGCTCCTTCTTTGACGAGGACGATCTAACGTGCATTGCTGAGAATGACGTCATCTATGCCTTCCAGGCGCCGCCGCTCTACATCAGAGGGGGCTCTGCACGGATCTCAGGTAGCTTTGGGAATGTGAAGAGAAAATGTATTAAATAATTTCATTTTTAGTGCTTTGCATAACAAAACACTGCAATACAGGTTCAATTTGTTTTATATTCAATTTATATTTAACTTATTTTACTGAAAGACGATATCATAGGGCTGCTCAGTGGCAGCAAGAGGGTTTGGGGTTTGATTCCTGGTCTTTCTGCATGGAGTTTGTTCTCCCTGAGCATACATGGGTTCCCTCCGGGTACTCAGGCTTTCAAAAACATGTCTGCTAGGTTAATTGGCATCTCTAAATTCTCCTTAGTTGTGAGTGTGTGTATGATTGGTTGTTTGTCCTGTTTGTCTCTGTGTTGCCCTGCGATGGACTTGCGACTTGTCCAGGGTGTACACCGCCTCTCGCCCGTAGACTGCTGGAGAGGCACCAGCACCCCTCGTGACCCCACTTGGGATAAGCTTGACAGAAAATGGATGGATGGATGTACTATATGATAGGCAAACATGAAATAATGTCTAATTTTGAAACGGAGAGAAAAGGATGTGTCGTCTTCAAAGAGTCTTAAAATTGAAACTCCGACAAGTGCATTTTAGACTCCATGTTGCTTCTTAACTCCAGCCTGGAGCAGGACAGAGGCTAAAATGATTTTTTTAAAAAATATCCCTCCAGTCCAGAGGTGTCAAGTATCGAAGTACAAATACTTTGCTAATGTATTTATGTACACTTTTTAGGTATCTATGCTTTACTCCATTACTTATTTATCCTTCCTACTTCTGACTTCTACTCATTACATTTTGACACAAGTATATACACTTTCTATTCTTTATATTTTTAAAGCAAATGTTACTCGTTACTCTTGGCTTCGGTTTAATGTTTATAAATATTTATTTCACATCATTGGCGGCATCATCATCTAGTGGAAACTAGTGTAATTGGATGAGTCATATAATGCAAACACTAATTGGGTAGCTAAGTGAAATCATCAGAAGCAAGCAGGTGTTTTTCAAACTGCAAATACGAATTGTCTATGTCATGCTACAATGTCGGATTCAGAAAAAGTTGTTGAAATGTCTGAAAGGTCGGATTGAGGTGAGAGCGTATCGGAAGATGGAGACGGAGACCAATTAGACCTCCCTCATCCTTGGCCCTATCAAGGATATTTTTCAAAATAGTCGAAAAATTGAGCTTTAAAATTCATATAGTGGCATCTTTGTTTTTTAAAGGTTGCTTTATACTTTAAGTAATTTTTGGAGCACATACTTTTTCACTTTTACTTGACTAAAGATGTCACGTTGATACTTCATCTTTTACCTGTCAGGATTGGGTTGAGGTTTGTTGACCAAAATGCAGAGGCATGGAGGCAGAGGTGAGTTTTTGTAAATTTAATGCGAGGTAAACAAGCAACTGAGGCAGGAATCCAAAAAATTCATCAAGAAAAAAGTTAAACCTGAAACCAAGAGGACATCAGTGGAAAAACAATCATGATGAGGTAAGATAATGAAGACGGTGTAGGTCAAAGTTTGACGAGGAACCAGCACTGAGGAACTGCACAAGGAGTGTATATACAGGAGACTGAACAAAGAGAGGACTAACAAGCAGATTGGGAGCAGATGTGTACAGAGCAGACAGGAAAGGCGCTTGGGAAAAAGGAGAACACAAGAGGGCAGCAGAGGACAACAAAATAAAAACCTGTAAACTGAAAAAATAACCAGATAAAACAACAAAATAAGAATTAAACCACTAAAACTAGAAAACATGGAGCAAACTAAAACTGAAAACTCAAAAGAAAACATAACAGAACCAAGACTGTGATATTAACAGAGTGTTTTTAAACCGCAGTATCTATACTTCTACTTAAGTAACAAATGTACTTTTGACACCACTGCTCCAGTCTGATTGAGTTGTAAAAAGCATTTGGGGCAAGAAAAAAAGTAAATCCCTATATATCTAAAGATAGTAGAGATGGCAAACACCATGCAGGTGTAACATGCACTGAATGCAAGTTGTAAATGTTCATTTCTTTTTTTTAATAATGGTAGATGGTAAATGTCATGTATTTATATAGCACTTTCTTTCAAGTCAGGTAACTTGACCAAAGCGCTTTACACTACATTCATTAACCCATTCACACACACACACACTCACACTCTAAATATATAAATAATAAAATATGATAATTTTCGTTCCTTCTCAAAATTAGATGCTGCTATGCTTTGAATCTTTGAATGCAATATAAATGGAATAACTTTTTCGGTGCTATTGAATTTAAAGAGGTGTGTATTAGGGCTGCAACTAACAACTATTTTGTTGATGATTATTTCTTTCAATCAAACAATTAATAAATAGATAACGTAAAACACATTTAAAAATATTTTGCACAAAATTCAAACCAGTTGAAGCCAAAACGATGCTTCAGAAGTTCCGGTAAGAACCTATAGACAAATATTAAACTTTTTGAGTGCAAAATGTTTTATTTTGGTATAATTACTGCTGTAAATGTGCTGCTCGTTCAGATTGGATTACTGGTTTATTTTAATTATTTTAATAATTGATTAATCAAGATTTTAAACAATTAATAGTTTCAGCTGTAATTTGTATACTTTTGTTTAATGCTGAAAAGATTTTTTATTTATTTATATGATACATTTATAGATATACATTCTATATACTTTTTTTACAATGAAACATTCTAATAAAAAGGTTTATGATGGATTATTTAGAAAATAATGGTAAAATTAGGCAAGGTAAGGCAAAACAGGGCAAGTTTTTTTGTATAGCACAATTTAGTACATAGACAACTCAAAGTGCTTTACATGAATTAAACAATAAAATAGAAGAAACATAAAAGGAGAATAAAAAAAAAGATTACAATTAAGGAACAATAAGATTAATTGAAACTATTATTTATTATGAAATTACGAAATTATTTGATTAAACTCTAAATAGTCTACTGGCTGTAATATGTTTTTTTCTTCAATGTATAATGATGAATGTAAAACCTGTGTATGTTTAAAAACAGTCCAACTCAGCTTAGTTGTGCGTACATTTTTTATATTGTTTTTTGTGTATTGTTATTTTATTTTGTTTTACATTACAAACGGATCCAGTTGCACGCTTTTAAAATAGACCAGATTTTATGAAATATTGAAGTGTCTAAAGCCTGGTTGAAACGTATGAAGCATTTCAAATACCTTTCCTTTTTTTCCTGGTAGATTTTCCTGCTGGGTTCTATAGAGAAAAAGCAGATGGTAAATGCCTCTCTCATACCTGTGTTTTTAACGTAACGTTAGGCTCCGTCAATCATTCATGAAAAGCCGTCCAAGCAGAATTCTCCTTCAAGTGTGGACTTATTTAAAAGAAATCTCTCTCAGTCATAAGGGATGGCTCATTAGAAATATGTAGGTATTTCTCTGCAGAGAACCCCAACCCTTCTGCTGTTATTTCTGCTGTTCACATGCCCCTACTTTAGCACATGAGTTCATTACATATTATACACTCTTTCTCAAATAATGCACTAAAAGAAAGTTGCATCCTCCTTTTGTGGTGGAGAAAAATTATCGTTAGAGACTAAAGCCTGTTGGGTTCGAAGTTCAATGCTTGTTAAGTAGTTAAATTAGCTTCCTCAAGTAGACAGATGATTAATACCTGAACTAATCAGATAACAGGTTGCTCTCTTCTCCTGTTGGGGCCACTTCAAGCATTTGGCATGCAGAGGTGAGTGAATCTTCATCCGTGCAGAAAGAGGATCTTAGTGGTGTCGTGTTTTTATTTATTAAAATTTCAGCTCAGATTTCAGCGCAGAACCATCGACATGGTTTTCATATCTACATGGCTTCATGAAAATCAATATTATTTTTTTTTCGTATGCATCCTAAATCTATACTTTCATGGTAATCTGAATTATTGTGATTATAGTGTGAAACAGCTCCACAAAAACAGTTTGTGGAGCTAAATGAGATACATATCCACTAGTTTTTTAGAGATTTATGTTATTTTCCTGGCTCCAACTACACATTCACAAACATCTATAGAGCAGCATTTTGTTTTGTTTGCACCATGTTGTTTATGCTTGCTGTAATTTTTATTTTTTTTGTTATTGCAGCATTTTTTTTTTTTTTTGCTGCATTTTTCTGTTGCATTTTTTGTTTTTTATTTGCCTGTTTTGGAGTTTGCATCATACATTTTTTCACTTGTTTGCAGCTCACTTCTTTTGTTTGCAGCATTTTTTTTTCTTTTTTACTGCATATTTGCGACTGTCAACCACCAAACTTTAGGATACCAGATGGCCTATTTTCTATTTTATAAGATTATTTTACATTGGTGAGTCTGCAGCTTTGTAAATAAATTTAGTTTACAGACAAAACCCTACTTTCCAAACCTGAGCTTTATTTTTAAAATATTTATCTTATGTGATATTCAGAATTATGAGTTTTTATTTTCTGCAAGCCATTATTATCATATTTATTAGAAATAATGGTCTGAAATACGTCACTATAATTAATTTGTAAATTATGA